ATGACAATACACTTTTAAAATTCTGTGATCTACTTTCCTGAAAAGTAGATATTTCCCATTTTCTATGATAAAACTTTGTTTCTGTTAAAAAATGTCCTGTTTTTCTCAGAATTTCCCATTTTCTATGATCTAATTTACTGAAAAATTTATATATATATATATATATATATATATATATATATATATATATATATATATATATATATTACGACCCTTGGCCTCTTAGGGTGTAACAAAATCACCAATTCAACTTCTCTTTGTATTATAGGTCCAAGGAATAGATCCCACCAAAATCATCACCTCAATACTATGGGGTACAGTATATTGAAATACATGCAGTAGTTTTAATTACATAATATATTAACAAACAAACAATAAAACAAATATATCAGTATGTACAAAAATAAACAAATACAAATTAAATCTGATCAAATAAATGACTCAACCAAGTGACAAAATAATGAACATAAAAGTAAAGACTAAACACTTATTTAGTACCATGAACAACGTGGTCTAGCCACCACACGAAACCTCATAAACAAGTAAGTTATTTTCCGTGGAACTCTAAAATATGATTAACAATAATCTTTCACAAATAATACTTTACTTGGTGTTATAAAAGTCGAGCAAGGTTACACGTTATACCACTAGAAACATATTGGACAACAAGAAAGGAGATACTCTGTACTTAACTTATCACTGCCGGCCCCATACTGGCGGTAAACAAAGGGAATGGAAGCGGGCAGAAATGAGGTCACAAACAAAAGACGTTCACGTTGGGAATCCACAACCAACCATGGAACTCTCACTCGTAACATCTCCCCCTTTAATTTAAAAGTTTAAGAAGCTCTGACTAAACTTTTTTACTCAACACGAGAGTGTCGGCAATTATATTATCACAGCCCTTTATGTTTGATTTCTATAATATAGGGTTGAAGAGCTAATGACCACCATAACAGTCTTTGATTCTTATTTCTCATATTATGAACAAACTGAAGTGGATTATGATCTGTATAAACTATCACTGGGTAAGGTGATCCAATTACATACACCTCAAACTTTTCCAGAGCTAACAAAAGGGCCAATGCTTCTTTTTCTATTGTGGCATATCCACGTTGATGCTTTTTCAGTTTGGCCGAGAAATAACAGTTCGGGTGCAATATTCCATCTTTTCCTTTTTGCATTAACACAGCACCAACTCCTGTGTCACATGCATCCGATTGTATCACAAACTGTTTCTTAAAGTCTGGGAGTTGCAGTACAGGTGCCGTCGCCAAACTTTTCGAATGCTGTCTGGCATTCATCAGTCCACACAAACTATCTTTTTGGGCCGACCAAATCTGTCATGGGAGTGACCACCCTGGCAAAATTTTGACAAAACCGCCTGTAGAATCCAGCCATCCCGAGAAATCTTCTGAGAGCCTTTCAATTGCGAGGTGCGGGTAGACTGAGAATATCGGCAACTTTGGCATCAATTGGAGCAATTTTCCCTTGTCCAATGACATGACCAAGGAAGATTAAGGTGGCATGTCCGAATTCACTCTTGGGTAGGTTTACGGTGAAGTTGAACTCTGCTAGACGATTGAAGAGTTCACGGAGTCGGCCAATGTGTTGTACCCATGTGTCACCGACGACGACCAGATCATCTAGATAGGCGTACACTCCAGGCACGCCTGATGTCACAACAGGGTATATGCATCGCTTGCTGAAATGTTGCTGGTGCTCCTTTGAGGCCGAAGGGCATAACTTTGTATTGCCACAGCCCCTCCGCAGTGACAAAAGCTGAAATCTGCTTTGCTTCTTCTGAGAGTTTGATTTGGTAGTGGCCTTTGAGAAGATCCAGCTTGGTGACAAATGATGCTTGACCCACACTATCGATGATGTCGTCGATGCGCGACAATGGATATGCATCAGTACGTGTCACCAGGTTGACCTTCTTGTAGTCAGTACACATGCGGACACTTCCGTCGGGTTTAGGCACCAGCACACAAGGTGACGCCCATGCACTGCTACTGCTCTCCACTAGGTCATGTTCCAGCAGATACTCCACCTCCTGCTTCAGCTTCTCCCGCTTATCAGGGCTCATTCGGTAGTGTGCTTGCTTGATGGGAGATGTGTCAGGCAGCAGTACTAGGTCGTGCTCCAGCAGAGAACACTGGTGTGGCACATCGTCGAAGAGTGGCTTGAACTCCTGCAGCAGTTGCACCACATCCTGAGACTGTTGATGTGAAAGATGGGATACTTTAGAGGTGGGGTCACACAATATACTGGAATTACAGATTTTTATGGAGATATCCACTTGGAAATCAGTATCTGGGACCACCTCCTCTCCTCCTGTTACTGAACAAACCACTTCACTCCTACCAAAATACGGTTTCAACCTGCTGATATGAGTCAAACTCTCCAATTTTCTTTTACCTACAGTCGCTATGACATAGTTGAGGTCATTTAATTTCTTGACTATAGTGAATGGACTCTCATATTTAGCTTGAAGGGGATTTCTATACAGGGTTATAAGTGCTAAAATCCTATCTCCAGGCTTAAATTCTCTAGCTTGACAATGCTCATCATATTGCTTTTTCATTTTCTCCTGTACTTCTGACAGATTTTCACGAGCAATCTCACCTACTCTCTTCAGTTTCTCTTTAAACTTCTTTACATACACTGACAAAGGGACTTTTATTAGATTACTTATCCATCTTTCCTTCAACACAGTTATAGGACCTCTTACAGCATGACCAAAAATCATTTCAAAGGGACTGAATCCTAGGGAATGTTGGGGACTCTCTCTTATGGCAAACTCCATACTCCATACAGTATTTCCTAAGCATAGATCTAAAAGTCTGGTGGAATCTCTCTAGGGCACCTTGGATTTGAGGGTGGTACGCAGAAGCTAAGTATTGCTTAATACCCAATTCATTCATCATCTGCTGGAAAAGGAAAGAAGTGAAATTAGTACCCTGATCCGACTGTACAACTCTAGGAATGCCACATTTAGTGAAAAAGTTAGTCAGAGCCTTTACCACACTCTTTGCTTTGATGTTTCTCAATGGTATAGCCTCTGGGTACCTGGTGGTAGTACACATGATTGTTAACAAATATTGGTGGCCACATCGAGTTTTTAGGAGAGGACCTACACAATCAATTATAACCCTGCTAAATGGCTCATCTACCACAGGAATGGGTTTTAGGGGAGCAGGTTTTATAACCTGATTCGGTTTACCAGCCAACTGACATTCATGGCAAGTTCTACAGTATCTGGCAACATCACCTTTCATTCCAGGCCAGTAAAGATGCGACAAAATCTTTTTGTATGTTTTCCTAACTCCTAAATGTCCTCCCAAAAAGTCGTGTGCTAATTTCAAGATTTCTCCCCTGTGACATCTGGGAATCAAAACCTGATGCACAGCATTTCACTCATCAGCAGGATCAGATACAGATCTGAACTTCCTCATAAGTAACCCTGAATCCATGTAGTAACAAACAGGCAAGCGAGCCGCTTCTTCCATATCCACAGCCTTCCTACATAGTTCAGGTAATTCGGAGTCACTCTGCTGATCATCTATCAGTTTTTCCCTAGTGACAGGTATTTTCTGAATGGCAATGTTGTCACCAGAAGAGAGATCAGCTTCAGATTTTGGGGAATGAATGTTAACTGAATCTTTAGCTTCACTCACATCTCTCCCACCAATGTCACTATTAAATGAATCATCCTGACTGTCTAACAGATTCTCAATACCTAAATCATTTTCATCATTGCCAGGTGTACTACTATCAGCAATACAAAGCTTAGGGTCAACAGAAGGAACGGTCTGTACCTTATTCCGAAGAGTCTGGCTCCTTGTAACTGCACATAAAGGAAATAAATCAGGGTATTCTTCTTCAATTAAACCAGTATTATTCTCCACTGTAGGAGTCGAAGATACCACAGGATCTGGCACCACGCTGGCTCCTGCAATAACATTACCCAGCAAAAAAGTAACCCCTGTCACAGGAAGAGAATCTTGAACACCAATAGTCACCCAACCAGTCACAAGTGGAGTTCTCAAAAACACCCTACACAAAGGAAGTGATCACTCCAATGACACCCTTAAGCACCAAATGCTCTCCAGTATAGGAATCTTCCACACAGGGAACAGATCCTTTCAACAGAATACTGTGAGAAGCACCAGTGTTACGCAAAATCTTCGCAGGGTACTGATCATCTGATTCTTCAACTGCAACTGAACCTTCAAACATGAAAGGTTCAAAAGAATCCTCCTTTGGGCGATTTCTTACTAAAGTTTTGTCAAACTTTTCCAGAGGTTCGAATGAGAGCACTGGCTCTTCCTTCTTTGCTTCCAATTTAGGGTAATTTGCAATCACATGACCTGGTTTCTTACAGTAAAAACAGACAAATGATTTAGTCTTGGCATAGGTCTTGGAAAGCTCACCTGAGTTTCCACGAAAATTTACTTTACTAGAAGACGTAATACTACTATCCTGCCTACCACCCTTTTCCTTGGTTACAAAACCCTTTCCACCTGAATGATTTTGAGATTTAACAGGATGCATTTTGTGAGTAAGGGCATAGCTATCAGCTAATGCAGCAGCTTTATGAACATTACTAATATCTCTCTCTCCTAAGTACAATTGTATATCTCTTGGAGTGGCTCTTTTGAACTGTTCTAAAATCATCAACTCAACAAGTTCCTCAAAAGTTTCTACCTTGCCAGACTTTATCCACCTTCTACACATTTTACTCAATGAATAAACAAATTCTATATACGACTGTACATCAGTCTTTCTCATAGTTCTAAATTTCACTCTATATGTTTCAGGAATGAGTTCATATGCCTTAAGAATTTCCTCTTTCACTAACTTATAAATACGAAAAACTTCATTCGACAAAGACAGAAATGCTGAACGAGCTGACCCAGTGAACACCCTTTGAAGCATAGCAATCCACGACTCTTCAGGACACTGAAAAGACTTTGAAATTTTCTCAAACTGCATGAAAAACTTTCTGGGTCCTCCTCGTCAAAAGCAGGCACAAGTCTCAAATGTTTTGTCACAAAAAACAATTTTGTCTCAGATTCTAAAGACAATGCCTGTAAGTCTTGTCTTCTACTGCTAACCTGTGCATATGCTAATTCATGCTGCCTTTCACACACTCTTTCCCTTTCTTCTCTTTCCTTCAAAGCCAACTCGTGCTCCATTTCTAACTCTCTGATCTCTACAGCTTCCCTGGGGTCAAATGAACGCAAAGTCAGTGCCCCCTTCGGTAGCACCTCTTCAGTTAGTACTGCACTTTGAATTTCAGACTTTCTTTGACTACGTCGATACTCAATTTCATATGTATCAGCAAGTTTTATCCAATCATCCTTTCTTAACACACTGTCTTTCAACATTTCCACGGATGGATTTTCAACAAACTCCTCCACATCAAAAGTAGCCATGATTAATCAATAAAGAATATCTATATTTAAATATTCCCAATAGATAACGAGTGAAAAGGGATCTATCCTGGCATAGTCGCCAATTTGGTTACGAGCCTTGGACTTCTTAAGGTGTAACAATATCACAAATTACACTTTGTATTATAGGTCCAGGAATAGATCCTACCAAATTATCACCTCATTACTATGGGGTATATTGAAATTCATGCAGTGGCTTTAATTACAAAACATATTAACAAACAAACAAACAATAAAACAAGTATATCCGTATGCACAAAAATAAATAAATACAAATTAAATCTGAACAAATAAACAACTCAACCAAGTGACGAAATAACAAACATCAAAGTACTGATTAAACATTTATTTAGTCTAGACACTACCCTGAACAACGTGGTTATCCAACACACGTAACTCACAAACAAGTAAGTTATTTACCGTTGAATTCTAAAATGTGACTACCCACAGTCTCACGTATAAACCACTATATAATACTTGGTGTTCTTAAAAGTCGAGCAAGGTTAACACGGTATACCACTAGAAATATACAATAGGAGAGGAGATACTTATCTTACAACTGCCAGCCCAATACTAAAGCCACCAGGGTCTGAGAGTTAAACAGAGCGAGCAGAGGTGGGCGGAAATGAATCCACAAATAGCTATCAAACGCTCACTCATTCATTAGTATTCGAGACTAATACAATAAACATTACTTTGTTTTACCTAACACATTGAAACTAATGTTACTACATTTCAAGTATAACATATAATATCTAAATTTTAACCGCTTCAGTGTGTACACAACGAATCAGTTGAAGTTCATATGCCGACCAGTAATCTTTTCATTGGTTCTTATTCCGACACTCGTAACCTCTCCCCCCTTAATTTAAAAGTTTAAGAAGCTCTGAATAAACTTTTACTCAACACGAGATAGAATGTCGGCAATTTCTAAAATATAGGGTTGAAGAGCTAATGACCACCATAACAGTCTTTGATTCTTATTTCTCATATTATGAACAAACTGAAGTGGATTATGATCTGTATAAACTATCACTGGGTAAGGTGATCCAATTACATACACCTCAAACTTTTCCAGAGCTAACAAAAGGGCCAATGCTTCTTTTTCTATTGTGGCATATCCACGTTGCTGCTTTTTCAGTTTGACCGAGAAATAACCGTTCAGGTGCAATATTCCATCTTTCCCTTTTTGCATTAACACAGCACCAACTCCTGTGTCACATGCATCCGATTGTACTGGGAGTTGCAGTACAGGTGCCGTCGCCAACAACCCACGAACCTTTTCGAATGCTGTCTGGCATTCATCAGTCCACACAATTTTCTTTGTGGGGTGACCAAATCTGTCATGGGAGTGACCACCCTGGCAAAATTTTTACAAAACCTCCTGTAGAATCCAACCATCCAGAGAAATCTTCTGAGAGCCTTTCGATTGTGAGGTGCGGGTAGACTGAGAATATCGGCAACCTTGGCATCAATTGGAGCAATTTTCCCTTGTCCAATGACATGACCAAGAAGATTAAGGTGGCATGTCCGAATTCACTCTTAGGTAGGTTTACGGTGAAGTTGAACTCTGTTAGACGATTGAAGAGTTCACGGAGTCGGCCAATGTGTTGTACCCATGTGTCACCGACGACGACCAGATCATCTAGATAGGCGTACACTCCAGGCAGGCCTGATGTCACTATATGCATCGCTCGCTGAAATGTTGCTAGTGCTCCTATGAGGCCGAAGGGCATAACTTTGTATTGCCACAGCCCCTCCGCAGTGACAAAAGCTGAAATCTGCTTTGCTTCTTCCGAGAGTTTGATTTGGTAGTAGCCTTTGAGAAGATCCAGCTTGGTGACAAATGATGCTCAACCCACAATATCGATGACGTCGTCGATGCGCGGCAATGGATATGCATCAGCACATGTCACCAGGTTGACATTCCTGTAGTCAGTACACATGCGGGCACTTCCGTCAGGTTTAGGCACCAGCACACAAGGTGACGCCCATGCACTGCTACTGCTCTCCACTAGGTCATGTTCCAGCAGATACTCCACCTCCTGCTTCAGCTTCTCCCGCTTATCAGGGCTCATTCGGTAGTGTGCTTGCTTGATGGGAGATGTGTCAGGCAGCAGTACTAGGTCGTGCTCCAGCAGAGAACACTGGTGTGGCACATCGTCGAAGAGTGGCTTGAACTCCTACAGCAGTTGCACCACATCCTGAGACTGCTGTTGTGAAAGATGGGATACTTTAGAGGTAGGGTCACACAATATACTGGAATTACAGATTTTTATGGGGATATCCACTTGGAAATCAATGTCTGGGACCACCTCCTCTCCTCCTGTTACCGAACAAACCACTTCACTCCTACCAAAATACGTTCCCCAGACTAACCCATGTATAAGAATAGACATAAAACAAAGTATACTCCCGAAAGATAAGAACATTGAAACTGAGAATATAATATATATGAAAGAAATGAAAGACTTGGAAGTACAAGGAAAGACAGATAAGACATATATGTACATGGTGGAACTAACGACACATCATAGAAATTATTAAATAAATACACTTGTATAAGAATCTAAAGTATACTTATAACTAAAGAATTGAAGAATCACAACAGAAAAGGATATCTGGATGGTAAAATATAAAAAGAGAAAACTTGGCCTGTTACAGTGCACTTTCAAAAAGGATTATCACCGTAACTTAATCACTGTAGCTATGAGTGATAAATGAGGATAGAGCCTATCTTAAAGTAGCTCTTCTAAAATACCTCAGATTGATATGGGAGTGAACTTGAGTAGGAACCCTCGAGGGAGAATGGAAATATATCCGACGTCCTCCCTCTAGGTAAGACGAAATCACGTCAACGTCTTCCTCTCGTCAGGGTTATCAAACTACTGCCCGCAATAGGTGGCCAGGGAGCCGGATACTTATCCCTTAGCTCAGCACTAAGTGACGTGACTTCCCGTGGACACACTTTATCACGTGCTCTGAACATGAACCTTATAGCTAGTGGAAAGTTACAGGGGATGATAGTTATACAAGTGCAATGTAATTAACCCACATTTATGTAAATACTTCTGCCTATAAGACAGAGGCTAGTATAAGGGTTGATTTGTGCAATGTTTTATGTAAAAGTCATAGTTTTCATATTTGCTAGTTAGAAAATCATAAAGTATTTTATAATGCAAATATGGCTTTTTCTAAGATGTATATGTTCTTTAGATTATAAGTTGTTCATTGCATCTTTGATTATGTATACTGTACAAGTGTACAGTATATGTAAATACATGGTTTTATAAAAAAAAATATATTGACGTTTATGTTAGAATGTAATACACCCTTTCTCAAAATTATATACAGTGACCCCTCCGTTAACGAACTCAATCCGTTCCAGATGGTCGTTCGTTAACCGAAAAGTTCGTTAACCGAAACCATTGTTTCAATGGGTTTTTGGGTAATTGGTTCCAGCTCACCGAAAATTTCCTAAATTCAACAAAAATGGTAGAAAAGTTCACTTACTTTGAGGTGTGTATGTAGAAGGCTCCCGGGTGATGATGATGATGGGATTTAGAATGGGGGTGGAGGAGAAGGAAGAAGAGAAGGCATTGGTATACTGCCAGACTGGGGTCACTAAATCTAAGGGGATAACTTAACTCTAATCTTAATGTCTAAGGGTCGCTGCCACCAGACCCCCTCTGGACAGCATGTAGCTCGTTAGGTAGCGGGCAGAGCGGACTAGGCATTGGGTTAGGTTTTCCATTGATCAGATCAATAAGGGTAAAGAAGGGTGAAACCAGAACATGTCTTCATTGATTTATTTCTTATAAAACACACTGGTAAAAAAAACATACATGAATTGGCCTTCCTCAGAAGAACAACGGAATTTTGGTTACCCAACTGGGCCCCAGACTCCTACATTACTGGCGGGTCATCCACCCACTTATTGCACAACAATCGGTGAACGCCGTATCTCGGTCGTTCCTTCTTACAATATCCCTTAACACATCAGACTGTTCCACTGGTGTGGCTTGTAGCACCGTCGGTTATCATACATAGTAGCACCATCGCAACACACCTGTTACACTCCATACCTGCAAGTATGTGACTCCTTGTGACTTTTAGGTCTACACAACGGGCCCCTCGTTCGCACACCGCCCTCGGTGGGTAAGGACGAGGGCTTCACCTAGAGACATACCAGCACTATTTCTACGCCTGGTATTATAGGTCGCTCCAAGTGACGACCGCAGTTTCTCACGGTCTCCTTAGTTGTGACTATTCATGTGGAGTGGTGCGCTGGGAATCCACCGGTTCATAGTGGACTGGTATAGTGGGGAGTAATTCCCCACCTGGTGTGGCGCTCCAGGAGACAATGGCGGCCGGGCGGCAAGATACCCCAACCACGTGGCACCTGTGGTGACGGCAGAACGGGAAAGACTAAGCAATAATGCCTGACGGGCGGTTATCCCATCCCTTAACACATCCCTATCACACTTATATATCCGGCAAAGCTTTAAACTGTAGTAACTGTTATTTATCAACCTTAATTGTAGGGCGGGATATAGCCCGCTAGGGCACTGACCTGTGGTGACGGCAGAACGGGAAAGACTAAGGCCGGCTTCCCGCCGCTTCTCGTCACATAGGCCTACCGTTTCCAATCCTCAATTTACACTTTTGTTTCTTATGGTTCTCACCTGAACACTTTACGGTATATTGTCACTCATTTCTTATAAACACATATATTAATCCTAAATTACACACTAAGGTCAGGTCTTGGTTTGCTAGTGCTTGGTTAAATGCCTGGGATTTTAATATCAACGGGCATCTGAGGCGGGTACATGACGCGCCTTGAAACAAAAGCCGAATGATCATGGCGGGGGTGTATCAACTTCACTTAAAAACTGTAATGAGGGATCCTCCTCTCACACAGTGCACTATTTGAACACAGACATGAGGTTCTCTGATCACTGTACCTGTCGTGGGTATATGTCACGTGAGGCTACGAGGTGTATTAAATTCATACCGACGCATACACGATATTTCCTTTCCAGTATAGTTTCTAGATCACTGTCAACACCTCACATAGTCCTGATACATTTATCCTTTTTCCAGATCATTGTTCTCATGTATTTTCATATGATATCTGTTGGAGTTAGGTTCGCTACACGCTCACAGACGTAAATAGTAGGACCTTCAAACCCTGCTCCACACTTAGTCTTACAGTACCCTAGTCCGGCTCAACTGGACTTTAACATTCATCTTATGCCTACCCTGAGTGATCCTTAATGCTATGAATACATACACTTGATATGATATAATTATACCTGGGTACAATACCACACCTGGTCTAGGAACCTTGAGTAGGTGAGTTGTCCTTTCTCAATGTTTCCCGTTTTCTGGGGTTCTACAAGCGCTGTGCATTTGAATGTTATGTAGCGTAATATGAATTAGATGGGATTTTTAGGGATGACAATGATGTGCGCAGTACATAGCCTTCCCCTCCCAAAGATTCATATTATGCGAAATAATATGCAAAGCACTAACGCTGTAGTGTACATACATTTTACAACATCCTAACCGTTCATGATTAGAGTACCTTAATCCAACACACAAAACATAAGGAGACTTAAACGTTTCCTACGAGCTTCTCCGCTACCATATACATCAGACAACCGTTTACAATCCTGCTAGTTCGGTATACAATATATCAGTAAAGAGAAAATTATAAGGAGACAAACTTTTCATACTCGAGTCTCCGTTACCTATACAGACCACAACTTATCAATTCTTATCTCAGTACAATATAGTATAGGGAACATTCCCTTAACAGTTCATCAGCGTAATACCTCAACCTACTTTTGGCACCAGCACATAAACAGTGACTCTTTGACATTACATCTACAACAAAAGTTCTCTGCATGAAATTACATATCCTAAGGAATGTAAATTCTTGTCTATGAATGGGGAATTAGTTACATCAGACACTTCCTCAGATTACTACTTCCTTTCAATAATAATTCACCTTTTCAACACCAAAACCATGGTTCTAGACATACACCTTGGGGCTCATAACACAAAACCCGTATTTTCTATCTCACAGTTCAACCGAACTGGCATTTGAAGGTCGGGGTGACTCCCTCACCCGGAGCGAGTCAACAACCCAAACAAAACTTCCGACACACATAAACTGAGATTTTTTCTTTCAACAACATAGGCAGCAACTGGACCTCCGGACTTCAGTTCCTCAGAACTGGGATTTATAATGTTGGGGTGACTTCAGTACGACTGACGAAGTCAACAACCCACAAAACTTTGACACACATAAACTGAGATTTTTTCTTTCAACAACATAGGCAGCAACTGGACCTCCGGACTTCAGTTCCTCAGAACTGGGATTTATAATGTTGGGGTGACTTCAGTACGACTGACGAAGTCAACAACCCAAAAAAAACATTCTGACAATATAGAGACCACTACTCATAGTTGATCTTCAAAAAGCATCCCGACAAACCATCCGAGCAACTGTCTCCCCTGCCCAAGACTTTATAATTCAACAAATCAACCTAACAACTGGAAAGCCAATAATATTCAATTGAAGCAACATTCTGGAACTAGATTTCCTACAAATCCATTCTAACTACTGGTCTCCTCTGCCTCACAGGGAATCTACTTGCAGGTTGACCTTCCGCATTTCCGTCATCACTTTCCTCATCTGTTTCGTCTGACCCCGAGTCCGAGGAAGAATCACAGGGTGGAAGTAAGGGCTCATTCAGCTGAACAAACATGTCTCTACTTACATACCTCTTTACTTTCTCAGCCGCTCTCTTTATTACCTCACTTTCATCCAAGGGGTTAGTCAACTCATATGCGGCACCATCTCGTATAATTTCTGTTATAGTGTACGGACCCTTCCACTTGGTATTCAACTTCCTAATGGTCCCAGGGGTGGGCCATTCATTCCTCACCCATACTGTTTCTCCTAACTGCATAGTTTGGTTCGTTCTTGATCTATTTGCTCTCTCTCTGGTCTCTCGCGACATCCTGGCAGACACCTCTTTTATCAACCTATGGGCTTCTTTCAACTCTTGACTGCTCTCACTCTCTATTATAGGTAAGTCAATTCCTACTTGTCTTTGTACATGCCTTGAAAAGAAAGCAAAATGAGGCTGTACTCCAGTTGTGGCATGGACAGACGTGTTCAGAGCCGACTGCACGGGACTGAGAAATTTTGGCCACTGAAGTGGATTATCTTCACACATGATTGCAAGTGTTGTTTTAAAGGTCCTGTGCATTCTCTCTGTGACACTATTACCTCTAGGGTGGTAAGGCAATGTAAAATAGTTCTTAATGCCAGTTACGTTACATAGTTCTCTAAATTGGGTTGCTGTAAATTCCCCTCCATTATCTGCAATGACTACTCCAGGGCTCCCAAAGACATGAATGAATTTACTAAATTCCCTGGTCACTTCCTGAGTGGATTTGGTTCTCAACGGGTAGAAATTGACAAACCTAGAATAGTGATCTATGACGGTCAACACATAGCGATACCCCTTCGCACTATTATGTAAGTCTGTCAAGTCCACAGATACTCTCTCCAAAGGTTTAGTTACTTCTGACATCCCCTGCCATTGCTGTTCTAACCCTTTCGTCCCTTTGAACCTTTGACACACTTCACATGATTCTACAAATTTCACACAGTCTCTGCGATAATTTGGCCAATAGAAAAGGCCTTCTACTCTGGCTATAGTCTTCCACTGTCCTAAGTGACCTGAGGCCTCTCTGTTATGTGCCCACTCTAGTGCTGCTTTACGCAAATGATCAGGTATTACAAGGCAGTACAGCAATGCTTTGTCAATTTGTTCCTTTACTAAATACAATACCCCCTCCGCGACTTCAAATTTGTCAATAGTCGTCTTTGGATATTTATGTTTGGGTACCTGTCCTCCTTCTAAATAACTAGCCAGTGTTTCCCACCTCTCGTCTTTTCTTTGTTCTATTCCTAACTGCCGAGGCGTTAAACCATCTAGCTGAGGGAGCTGACCTACCATCCTACTCCTGGCTACCTTCCTTAGGGCCCCTACCGGCCTACTCAATGCGTCCGCGACTAGATTTGCCTTTCCAGGTTTGTACTCTATCTTATATATGTAATCCCTCATTTCCAACATCCATCTATTCATTCTTTGACTTTTAGTTTTCTTGTTAAAAACAGACGTTAACGGCTGGTGGTCAGTCTTGATGGTGAATTGGGAACCCCACAGAAAATGATGGAAAAATCTACAGGCTAACACTATCCCCAATGCTTCTTGGTCGGTGGTGGAATACCGTGTTTCCGCGGGCTTTAGCTTCCGAGAGAAATACCCAACAGGACGCAAAGAACCGTCATCCTGTAATTGATTTAGTGAGGCTCCTACACAGAAATTACTTGCGTCACTGTGTAGCTCAAATGGTTTATCCATGTCCACTTTTACTAGTACTGGAAAGGAAGCTAATGTCCGCTTTAACGTGTCAAAAGCTGTCTGGCATTCAGCTGTCCAGGCAAAGGCAGCTTGTTTCTTAGTGAGTTCTGTGATAGGATATGCAATCTTAGCAAAATTTGAAACATGCTTACGATAAAACCCGCACATCCCTAAAAATTGTCGGACTTGTTTGACATTAGTGGGTGGTTTACAGTCTGTTACTGCTTTTACATTCTCTGGATCCGGCTCAATGCCTTTCTCTGAAACGATATGTCCTAAGAATTTTACTTGTCTCTGACCAAACTGACATTTAGATAGGTTTAATTTGATTCCCATATTTACAAACCTGTCAAATACTTTAGCCAATCGGCCCATGAGGGTATTGAAATCAGGAGCCCACACTATGACATCATCTAGATAGTTCCTGACCCAATCTTCTTCTGCTAAAGGAGCTAAGACCCTGTTGACTTCCCTCGTAAAAACGGCTGGGCTGGCTGACAAACCAAAAGGGAGGCGTTTGAACCGCCATAACTTATACCCATCGCTGAAGGTGGTTATATCTCTACTGTGGGGGTCAAGAATTACCTGATAGTAAGCATCCTTCAAATCTAAGGTGGCATAATATTTATTTCCGGCAGCCTTCTCAACTAATTCATCCAATCTTGGCAAAGGTTGTATATCTATTTTCAGGTGTTTGTTGACTGCTCGGAAATCAAGGCACATACGTTTCGACCCATTAGGTTTAGTTACTAACACGATAGGTGATAGCCAGACAGCGGTTGATGGTTCAATGATGTCCCTATCTCTCATGTCTCTCATCATTTCTTTAATAGTACCCTTGGCTTTCTCGGGATACCTATACTGAGGTCCTCTTACAGGTTGTTCATTAACCAATGGGATGTTAGCTGGCAAACCCTTAATGGTGCCTATTTCATTTGGACCTAATACAAACAACGCATCATGATTCATGACCACCTGTTGCAACTGTGTCCGCATGTCCCTATCTAAGTGTGGCCATTGCTGGGTCCTAATTAACTCTTTTAATTTGTCCTGTCTAGTTTCCCCACGTGTCACTTCATCACAGTCTGGTACCATAGAATTTAGTACTTCCTGAGCTCGTCTAATTTTGTGGACTGGGGAATTTTCCATACCCCTACAAAGTAAGCATTGAGTTGGGAATTTCACATCATGCGTCAGTCTTAAGGGGATTTTGTTAGACCTCTTATCATCTTCTCTCTGTATGGCCAGGTGATGTGGTGAGCACAGGGGTATGTCTACAGACCGGCCTACCTCACCTAACTCTTCATAAATGTGTGAGATAGTTCCGAGATTATTCCCTTCATCATCAAAGTAACAGAATTCCTCATCATTAACTACTTCATATTCACCTAAAACCGCACCCGGACTCAAACAAACTGGCTGCTCTGAAACATTACTCATAGGAACATAAACACAGGAATCATCTTGGACTATCACACACATATCCGGTTGTTGTTTCAGCCCCTTATGCGTAAATCTAATACTTATGGTCTGACCTACCCCTACCTTCACTTTAACTGGCCTAATCTGAGAACTGTGCCCACTTATTGTAGTCTTCCTATCAATGTGTAAGCTAGTTAGCTTCTTGGGGGAAGATAAGATCGAAGCCTTCGTGAACTGTTTGACTTTGACAACCATTCGCAACTTTCCTCCATGACTTGGTGTCCAATAAACTTGTTTATGACCCCCCCAACTGAACTGATTTTTTTCGTGATGCCACCAAACTCCAAATCGGCCTAAAATGTCTGCTCCCAATAATACATCAGTATCCAACATGTTATCTTCCACTATTACGGCTTGGTGACGGATTCTTTTCCTACGGGACAACTGTACACTGATGACAACAGTGCCTAGGGTCTTAAACTCTTCCCCGTTAATAGCTACATATCTTTGGGTACAAGGCCTAATGGGCCCCACCTTCAAGGCACTAACCAAGCTATCTTTAATGATAGTAGCTTCACTACCCGTATCAACCAATGCTAGACAAGTATGTCCACATATAGGTAACTTAATACATGGAGAACTGGGTGTGGACGGATGTCGTGGTCATTGGCCCGAAGGGTGATTCCTAGCCTGGCGTCCTGGACAAGTGGTAAAGAAACTCCTACAGTTCATCCTCATGCACGCATAACAAGAACCTGGCCTGGGCCTGGAGGGACAATTATGTGGGCTATGGCTATCCCTCCTACAATACCCACACCATTCATTCCCTGTCCAATTTTGAGTGTTATTCTCCTTCCACCTCGTGTTCTGAGCCCGTCTTCCGTCAGTCTCGTTCATATGGTAGTCTCCCCGAACTCTATAATTTTCAAAGTCTGTCGTGGGTTGTACTTGTTCTTGGCGGGATTGTCTAACGTGATATAAGTCCCTGCTATCCCCACCCAGATATTCACTCCTACTTCGCTCTAACATTCTTACAAATGAATCCAACGTACGGCAGTCTTGTATATAGGGGGTCAAGTCTCTCTGCATTGGTTTAGGCACAGCTCTGTACAGTCTTTGTATTATGTAAGTATCTTTAGTGGTTATTGCTCCAAACTTCTACTGACTCAGCCATTTTGACCTAAAGTGCTACCTCTCGGCCCAAGACAAATACGAACCGCTTAACACAACTACTCTCCTGTACTACTACAACCTTAATTGATCAATGGGATAATACAACACTATGCAACCTCTTAACATGGCACCAAAAATTATAACTCACATCAACTGGAGACCGAAAGTCCTATGGTATTCCATAGGTGAACCACTTGAGACACTTCTCAGACACAGTGTGGACTCCCTTACCTCAACGTCACCAAAGTTAATCCACAACTTCTGCAAGTATTAATACATATTAACACTGGATAAAACACAAACACAAAACACACAATGACACACATGACTTCAGTACTGTATAAATTTTCAAAAATTCTTCTTACATTTCTGTACTCAAATCAATGTTATTCACCTGCAAGTATCACTCAAAAATCAGATTATCCATCATTAAAATACTTGTCTATACTTGCAACTTTAAATCACAACTTCAATTCCCTCGGATTTGATCAATGATTAAAAACCATCCCACCGCTATAGCCACCAATTTATACTGCCAGACTGGGGTCACTAAATCTAAGGGGATAACTTAACTCTTATCTTAATGTCTAAGGGTCGCTGCCACCAGACCCCCTCTGGACAGCATGTAGCTCGTTAGGTAGCGGGCAGAGCGGACTAGGCATTGGGTTAGGTTTTCCATTGATCAGATCAATAAGGGTAAAGAAGGGTGAAACCAGAACATGTCTTCATTGATTTATTTCTTATAAAACACACTGGTAAAAAAAACATACATGAATTGGCCTTCCTCAGAAGAACAACGGAATTTTGGTT